CGGGCGCGAGCGCGGAGTGGCGCGGACCCGTCCTGGGAAAAAAAGGCGCGGACCCGGACAGGCCTCGGGAAGAAATAGCGAACGCTCGTGCCACACTCATCCGTCAACGCCTCCCCCATCCCCCCCAATGTGCAAAGTTGGCGGTGGGTCTGATGAGTTGCACCTCGACCGCAGCCTCCCCCGCGCGTGCCAGCTACTGTTTCCCTCTACCAGAGGTCCGACGCTCCAAGAATATCCGGGCGAACGACCCAGCCAGAGTCGAAGAAGATAACAGGCCATCAACGTCCACTTTTGGCGCTCCGCACGGATTTCTTGCATCCGCGCTGGGCCCCCCAGCGGCGCCTCTGGCGCCGCCCCTGGCGCTCTCCGCGCGCCATGGAGGTGGGCCCAGCGCAGATCCAAGAAATCCGCGCGGACCGTCGAAAGTTTATGTTTATGGCGTGTGTTCTTCTTCTAATCCTGGCGAAGGACCCAACCATATGCAGTGATGAGTACCGTCGCTGTGGGTATCGCCCTTCGTGATGAGTACCCATCTCCTTCGAGACCCCCACCAAATGACCACCCCAGTTGGGGATACACCCCTCGAAACCCGAAGGGAACGGCCTATATCCCCATCTAGGGGGTAATTCTGCCAGTGGGGCCCAGGCATCACCGCTGGGGATGGGGATCGGATGAACGATATTCAGAAAAGACGTGGAACTCCTCTTCGAAACGCCCCCCCCCCACCCCAACAAAAAATCAGACCCACAGAATCCAGAGCGTTGCAGACCCCGCGGACGACCTTGGAAGAGGTCCCCCGGCCTTTCGGGGCCTCCCGGGGCGCTTTGCAGGGCCTTGTCACCAGACCCAAGGCGACCACAGGGGTGACCAGAGAGGCCCAAGAGAGGCTCAAGACAGCTCAGAAAAGAAGGGGAACTCCGGGGTACCCCCAGGGGGGCATTCGGGCGCACCCCCTGTCGAGGATGAACGCCCCCCCCACCATCGTATATCCTCGAGTTGGGCCCAAGACTTTTCGACCAGTCGACAACCCTACAAAGTCGGGGATCTGGGTCGCCATACCCTCCTTTTTACCCAGGGGCAACGTCAAGAGGGGATCGATCGGCTTGGGGGGGAAACGCATCGTCTTCCAATCGCCCGCTCATCGTCGATAGGGGCCTCATAGCCCACCCCGCCCAGGGACGCCCGGTTCCGCTGTCGTGGGCCTGCCGCCGATCAATCGGCGATGCAACGATCAGCGATGCCAGCTCGATCTGTGCCCCCCCTGAGCCGGTCCCGCCCGAATCTTCCCCCTCACGCTTGCTCTTCCACGCAGTGGCATCCTATTGCATACAGCGTCGTTTGCTTGCGCTGTGCGTGTCGCGCAGCCCTATCCCCTCGACGGCGCCACTCGACGCATCTGGCAGGGCAGGGCATGAGATTCGATGCGCGACGCATTCAGCGCGCTTGGGAGGCCAGCCTCCGCTCCCCACCCCACACATCCAGGACGAGGAGCGAGGAGCGAGGAGCGAGGATGGCGCGAGCAAGAAGCAAGGAGGCGCGAGGGGGAGCGAGGAGAAGCGTCGAGGGGGAGCGTCGAGGAGGAGGAGGAGGAGGAGGAGGAGGAGGAGGAGGAGGAGGAAGGGAGGAGGGGGGGGAGGAGGAGGAGGAGGAGGAGGAGGAGGAGGATCCAGGCTTCCCTGCTTCCCTGTCGTGGTCGTTGCATCAGCAGCCTCCGGCGTTCTGGCCGAACCACGCGGCGGGGCCCAGGACGCAGCCCGAGGAAAGTCTGGGGAGCCGGCCGCAGTTCAAGGCCAAGAGGAGCTCAAGAGTGGGGAGTCGGGGCTCAAGAGTCCTCCACTTAAAATCTGTGGAGTCGGGGCTCAAGAGTCCTCCACTTAAAATCTGTGGAGTCGGGGCTCAAGAGCAGGAGACCGGTAGGGGGGGAGCGGGACCCCTTAGCTCAGAGGAGAAAAAGGTATCCATACCTCTACCCTTTCCTGGTTTTCCCCTTCCTGGGCCTCCTCAGAGGCCCTCGTCGCCACTTCTGGATTCGCTTCGAAATCCTGGTCAGAAAGCACCCTGGGAGAGGTCGGGGAGTAGCGGGCGTCAACGCAAACGGGGGTCAGCCAGGGCGCCGGATCTTGCAGGATCCTGCAGGGCCAGGGGCGCACTGACCTGGGCTTGGGCGCAGGATCCTTCGTATTGACCCGGGTTTGGGTGCAGGATCTTGCAGGATCCTGCAAGGTCCGACTGACCCGGGTCTGGATTGACCCGGGTCAGAAGATCCCCGAGTCTGGGGAGCCGGCCGCAGTTCAAGGCCAAGGAGGACGGCGCGAACGGTCATCAAGCAGTGGCGAAGCGTCCCAGCTTGCCTGATTGGCCCATCAAAGAATGTTCTGAGAACCTTTTTGTGGTATGCACGAAATGTTCTCAGAACATTTCTGGCCGGGACTTAAGAACATTGTTTTTGTTTTTGAAACATTTCTGGGTTCTAAGAACATGTCGTGGTAAGCCTATAGAAATGCCAGGACGGTCGGTCCTTGCTCAAGGTCAGCTCGCGCGAAGCTCGAAGGGCCGAGGTTGAAGTCGGGCCTGTCCCTCTACACGGGGACGATCCAAAAGTAGTCAAGTAATGGTCGTGGGACGATTTGTTGAGTATTGTTGAGCATGTTTGGTGTATTGTTTGACTGTTTTTCCCACGTTTCGTCCAAAATCCGCCTGTAGGGGGACACGCCCAACCTAAACCAATGTGCACGGCGCGAAACACCAATGCAGTCTTGCATATGTGAGTGTGTGTTTGTGGTTTTGAGTCGACATATGATCCGACGTATCGTGAAGCGGTTGGTGTTGCGATGCTGCGGAGGAGGGAAAAAGGGTTTCCCGATTCCGCGGTGGCGGTTGCTTGTGTTTGTGCTTGTATATGCTCGCTCCTCCTGTGGACATATGCCCTCTCCGCTCCCGCCCCGTATCTTCCGTCAACGCTTTCTCGCAGTCTCTGGGCATGGCACGAGCGGATGCAAATATCCATTGAAGGACTGCTACGAATGTGTCGCCGATGACGGGCGACAGATTGGATGGGCAGAGGGCGCAAGTTTTGGGGGCGGATGGTGGAGAAGCACAGATTGGCCGACTGCAGTCAAAGGAAGGTGACATGTGCACAGTGTTCATTTCTAAATGTTTGAACGTCCTTTGATTTTTTTGGGGGGCAAGAAACTGTCATTTCTAGTTGTTCTGTCCTGGGCCGCTTCCTGGCCACTAGGGGGCCAGGAGATCTCGTAGCTTCACGGATCTTAGATTGAAGTGGATTTGTGTGGAAAGCACGTGTTCGATTTGGACGGAAAGGACGTGTTCGAACCGCTCATCATACGCGGGACAGTTTGGAAATTATGTTGCACGGCATTCGGTGCAGAGGCAATTGCTTTGGACAAGGCACGTGCTGAGGTTACCAAGTTGTTGTCTTAGACGCGGGGCGAAAAGCTGAAATTGTGGTTGCTTCTTACGCTTCAGTCAACAAACAAACAGCGTATGTTCCCCAATCAGAGCTTGCCTCTGTAAGGGTCCTAGCGGATTCATATACTTAGGTTAGCTGCGTCGCCGATTTGGGCGGCGCGCCCGGGTGCTTGGGTGCCCAGGAGTTGCGTCGCCGATTTTGGCGGCCCGCCCTGATGCCCGGGTGCCACATAGCCTAGTAGCCCTACAGCCTTATAGCCTTACAGCCCTACAGCCCTAGAGCCCAGCCCCATAGCCCAATAGCCCAATAACCCTACAGCCCCATAGCCCTGTAGCCCTATAGCCCTATAGCCCTGTAGCCATCTAGCTCTCTAGCCCTCTAGTCCTATAGCCCAATAGCCTTATAGCCCAATAGCTCTATAGCCCAACAGCCCAACAGCCCTATAGCCCTATAGACCCATAGCCCCATAGCCCTACAGCCGCATAGCCCCGTAGCCCCCAAAAAGATTCTGATTGCGGCTTCTCTCCGGTACCACTGCGTCGACTCACATGATGAATCGTTGCGTTTCTCCAGAATTACCGAAACGTTACCTCTGCAGTATGAGCATGCTCATCTTCACACATCGTGTTTCAGAGTTGTGCGTTGGTGTCACAAGTGTGGCGTCTCTAGAGCGCATGGCGTGGGATGGCTTCTTTCAGCACGAGCATGCGTTTAGCTACGGCCTGTGCACCCTGGATTAACGCAGCCCATGGCGTCTCATCTTATCTGAAGTCTAGGTGCCTAGCTGACCTGAGCGCAATTTAGCGTACGAGAGTGGACGTCATCGAACCCTGTTCAGATGCCTCAGGTATTGTTCTGGGTGTGCGCCACATCTGCTAACCTGTTGATGTGCCGAAAGCGCGGTTGGCCCTCGCCGGCATTGGGGATGTGTGATGCCAACACGTGCATTCCAAGCACTGCATACAATGTTCGCCAGCGTGGAGAGATAGCAACTTCGTAGATTTTTGTTGTTCTGGTTGTGGCGACACAGCCGTGAGGAGCAGGCAGAAAAGGACCATGACCGGGAGGGTGACGAGCTGGACTAATGCGGGGGTGGGGGGCGACGAGAAGGAGCAGCAGGAGGAATCTTGCGAAGGCCTTACAGCCGGGCCTGAGGTCGGGGAGGAGGATGCCGAGCATGGGGAGGAGGGTGCGGAGCATGGGAAGGGGATTCCCTCGACGTCTTTCTGGAATTTTGTGTGTGTGTGGGGGGGGGCGACGAAGAGGAGCAGCAGGAGGAATCTTTGGTAGGGAAGAGCGGGATGAGGAAGTGAGGGAGCGGCGGCGGTTTCTGTGGAGGCCTCCGGAAATTCATGCTACTTCAAGAGCATCCAACAACCGAAGCCTTTCTTTGCTTGGGTTTTTCTCCTCCTCCTCCTCCCCCTCCACCTCCTCCTCACCCCTCCCCCGCCTCCTCGCCCTCCCCCTCCTCCTCCCCCCTCCCCCTCCTCCTCCTCCTCCTCTCCTCCTCCTCCTCTCCTCCTCCTCCTCCTCCCCTCCTCCTCCTCCTCCTCCTCCTCGCACCACTACTAGGACTACCTACTACTACTACTACTACTACTACTACTATCCTAGTAACTACTATACTACGGCTACGGCTACG